CGTTTTTTTAAATTGATAAATGAACAATAAATGACTGAAGAACCCAGGATTTGATTTTAATTTTGGAATTGAAACACAGTCAGGAAAGTACGTACTATATATATAATATAAATTAGTTTAAAGTTTTTTTTTTAGTTTTTTTTTACTTATTTAAATTAAGCTTGTCATATTTTTAGTTTTAGTTAGTTAAGAGAAGTCGTAAAACTCTTCTTCGGTTTTGGGCTTAACTCGACTAAATTAGGTATGCAACCAGACTTCTGAAATATACAGAAAAAAATGCGAACAATTTTATTCTTACTTGATTTATGGAAACACTTAACATATATAAAAAGTAAACAATACAATTGTTCAGAGCCATATATAACTGTATTTACAATATACAGGGTGGCCATTTTCTGAATCTTTGTATGGGTAACTTCTACATTTTTAAAGATAGGGAATCCGTTAAATGAGCAAAATTGGGCAGACTTCGATTGCCTATTCATTACCGTTTTCAAAATTTAGGTACCCGACTTGGTTCCTGAAATATCCTGAAAAGACAAGAAATCAACACTTTTTTAATTATCACTTATTACGTGAACTGCTTAACTTAGAAAAAAAGTTAAAACTGCCCTGGTACAACTATTTGCGTTGAATCCAATAAACAATCACTCGTTATCATAGTCAACTTGATATAAGAGATAAAAAATATACTTATGGTTTTTTAAATGGTAATCATAGTTGGCTGTGGGTCTTTCAAAATCCTTATTTTTTCTGAATTTAACGATATTCTTATTTGTATGTTTTTCTCCTTTTGTTGCCGTAAAACTTCAAAAAAACATAAAAATGTGTAGTAGGCTATGGAAACAAGAACTATATTATCACACAAAGCACAAAACAATAATGAATCGTTTAAATTAAATGTCTAATTGACTTCTGTTTACGTCCAGGCATTTTTTGGCATTTTCACATTCATCTCGTGCGTTGTGTGAAAGTGCACCATCATGTTGAAAATATGCCAATCTTCGATACGATGTTAACGGAAAATTAATCAACATGTCTTCAAATTCATTTGGTAAAAAGTGTAAATATCTTTCCATATTTAAATTGTGATTATAAAAGAATGGACCAATAATTTTATCACTAAAAATGCCTCACCAGACATTCACAGAAAAAACACGTTGATCTCGCCTATTTTCAATTAGATGATGCTTTTCATTAGCCCAGTAAACATGATTGTGTCTGTTAATTGTTTCATTTTTGTTTTGTGCTTTGTGTGATAATATAGTTCTTGTTTCCATAGCCTACTACACATTTTTTATCTTCTTTTGAAGTTTTACGACAACAAAAGGAGAAAAACATACAAACAGTTATATCATTAAATTCAGAAAAAATTTGGATTTTAAAAGGCCCACATCCAACTATGATTACCATTTAAAAAAACATATTTTTCATCTCGAAAATCAAGTTGACTATGACAACGAGTGCTAGTTTATTGAATTCACCGCATAAAGTTCTACCAAAGACAATTTTAACTTTTTTTCTAATTTAAGCAGTTTGCGAATTATATGATAATTAAAAAGTGTTGATTATTTGCCTTTTCAGGATATTTCAGAAACCAAGTCGGGTACCTAAATTTTGAAAATAATAATGAATAGGGAATCGAGTTCTGCCCAATTTTGCCCATTTAACGGATTCTCCATCTTTAAAAATGTAGAAGTTASCCATACAAAGATTCAGAAAATGGCCACCCTGTATAGGAAAATTACTCCTTAATCATTGCTCTGGCGACTTAAAATTCTAAAATTATTCTGAATTTWTCAATCTAACTGATGTCAGGTTTTATCTAAATGTATGTTTGTGTTTATATGAGTTTATTTGGCATTGCTGAAACTTATATGCCTAAGTGCTTCTAAGTTTAGGGTCGAAAATAAGAAATAGGTATATTTGCGCGTAGTTTGGTACGAAAAATTGGGAATCATGCACAAAAGACGCTGTTTATTGACTTCGTTTATAGTCGTTAAATCAGAGAATATATCAAATAACCCTGAAAAAAATAGTCATTCAAATTCGGGTCAACCTTCTCCGGTAAATGGCCATAATTCAAATCAAGTCTAACGATTAAAAAATGCAAAATCACCTTTTTTTAAATGAAATTGACTGCGACTTCTAATCGGCTGGTAATCTAATCTAAATTGGCTAGTAGGTAATGTATAGGTTCATCTGCTTGGCACCATAGAGTAAGTAAAATAAGCTAGCTTCAAGAAAACCTAACACAATTAAAGCCTACAATACGGCACTAAAACCATTGATTTTTACCTGCGAGAAATGATGCAGGTGTTCTTTCTATGCTTAACCGAGAACTAAACCCAAAGATAAAGACCAGTACTTTGACTAAGGCTTAAAACCATTTTCTACCTGAATATATCGAAATGCTTAGAAAGTCGAGAAGGTACGAACATCACACTAGTAAAAAGGTTTTTGAAATAATGTTTAAAATAAAAATTGCATATAGTAGAGCTTGTACTAATGTAAACCTACATACCATACAGGGTGCTCTGGATAAATCAAAGCTATTTTAAACTGCCTAAATTTGAATGCAATTCTTAAGACTTAAACAAATGGCATTCAAAACAACAAAAAATTTCATTTCATTCATTTTGCAATTAAGTTTAAAGATTAAAATTATAGCACTTTTACAAAAAAAATATACAATATTGAAGTTGCAAGTGAAGAAATGGAAATTATTTTTTTATTTCGTACAAGTGATTCCCATTTTCAGAAAGGATTACACTGAACTGATGAATAACTAATAATTAAACGACTAGCTAAAGAATATTTTTAAGCGTAAATTACAATGGTGTAATAATAAGATATCTGTGGCTTCGCTTTTCAGATTTCAACCACATAACATACATTTACAAAAATACTAATTTTAGACACAACGCTTATTATTTATATATTTTGCATGAACAATGAAATTATACATACAGGGTGGTTTTTAAGTGCGATAGAGTCCATTGCTTCCGATGGTGTTGAACTTTCGAAAAATAGTTTAATCTAAAAGTTGTTGACGCACTTTGCGCACATTTTAAAAATATCTTATATGATACAGAGTGTCTCCGAAAAGTGAGGCAAGATCACAGTGTATTTTTTAAATAAAACAACCCATTTTTCATTAGTTCATGGAATGCAGGTTGAAACGCTGCATATGCACCGTAAATTGTTTTTTTCTTACTTGCGACGATGGCAGATTATCGCCATTTTAGTAAAAATTTGATTAAAAACATGGTATCTAAAAATTTATTGTAGAAGCAAAAAAAGGCAGTTAAAGATACAAAACAATACGTCTTTCCAATCACCACAGATCCGTTAAGAATTCTATTGAACCAAAATATCAACACATTGTACAAGGCGTTAACAATGTGGACTTCAATCTAAAACTTTTTATCGCAATATAACTTTTGTTTTTCAAATGGAAGTACTTGTATATTAATATGTCACTAGATAGACAATTTACAAAGTTAGAAAATTTGCGTTTGCTTGAAATCAACCGTTTTCAAACTATAGCTTACAAAATGTAGCAACTTTTAGAAATTTTTAAACAAAATAAATTATAATTTGAAAACGGATGATTTCACAGCTTAAAGTGTAAATGCAAATTTGTAACTTTTTAAACTGTCTATCTAATGACGTATTAATATACAGGTACTTCCATTTGACAAACAAAAGTTATATTTCGTTAAAAAGTTTCATATTGAAGTCCACATTGTTAACACCCTGTACAATGTATTGATATTTTGGTTCAATAGAATTCTTAACGGACCTGTGGTGATTGGAAAGACGTATTTTTTGTATCTTTAACTGATTTTTTTGCTTCTACAATTAATTTTTAAATACCATGTTTTTAAGCAAAATTTTACTAAAATGGCGATAATTTGCCAATGGCAATAATCTGCTAATGTTGCAAGTAAGGAAAAAACAATTTATGGCGTATATGCAGCGTTTCAAGCTGCGTTCCATGAGCTAGTTATATGACCACTTACGCAGACCACTGTGTATTTCACTCAATAAATGCCGATGCAGCAAGTAATGACTATATAAGCTGTGCATTCGGCATGAGGAAATCAGTCTTAAGTTAGTGGGACATAGTGTAACATCTCGTTGTTGTAAAAAACATTTTTGATTCGTAATAAACGGTTTTTTAAAAACAAGTTTTTTACAATCAGAAACAAAATTGGCGCAGTCGGGTAGGATACCCTCCAGTGCAGTTACAGTTTCCAAGTTTTTGTCGAAAAAGTCGATCCACAGTGAAAATCTTCTTGTGCGGTTACGATCTCTGAAAAAAAAAAGTTTTCGAGAATTCGATCGTGCAGTGAAGTTCTGTGTGAAACAAGTGAAACCAGTGACCAGCACGTCTGTCTCAACAGTTCAGGAAGGATCCCTCAGCAACAGAGCTACAACTTCCAGCCCTCTACTTAGACTCCTAGCAACGCATCGCCTTTTGGTTATCCAACAACGAAGCAGCTAGTAAGGACATATTGGCCCAGCGCTAGTGTCCACTACATACGAAGTCACACCTGGACAGTTCATCTTCCTGCAACGGCATCGTGTGATACGGGACCAAGATTGGA